TATACAAAATATTCATGAAGGAACCTAAGGTCGGGGGTACCTACTACAAATTATGTATCCAACTTTTTGATTGAATGAAAGATCTCAATGTAAAAGATTCCAGAAGGTCAATTATTTTGAGTTGTCAAATCAATAATCACTAGTAGTAGACCCCAGAAGGACAATGAAATTTTTTTTTTACATACAAAAATTAAACGTGAGAATCAAGCTCAACAACGCATAATATGTACTCCTAGAAGAATAAAATGACTCCTTCACCCTCTAAAACCACAAACAGTAATACTCATAGCCTTTTAGCTGGCAAAATATTTGTCACATGTTGAATATTGATCAATATCTATACTTCTGAGGTGGAGGTTTTGAGGTGAATAATTGTTATCACTTTCAACTTTACCCTTATAAAACTAAATTATTGCTTTATTACCTAAACATACATTATTAAATTAAATGTTTGAAAGTAAAATACCCATAAAGAGCCGGGACTTTAAATAGGTAATGCGTATTTGCCTATAAACTATACTCCTTAAAGTTTATTAATTGTTAATTGATTTGTAGTACTTTGCTATTCATTGGACATGTAGTACAAAGGACAAATTTGGTACGAAATTCTAATTTCACTCCCTAAAACAATATTTTAATCGTTTGGACAGAATTTGCAAAGGATTAGTAACCTCAGGGGAGGTCAGTGTAATTTTTCAAACTACAGGGGAGGTCAGTGTAAATGTCAGAAACCTCAGGGGAGGTTTCTGCAATTATCCCTATAAATTAATATAACTTGATATAAACTAGCATAATTTTGATGTAGTCATGAGTTTTACATCAATGTAGTACAAAATTCACCTTTACACCAAAATTATACATATTTACACTGAAGTTGTGTTAGTTTACACAATTGGAGAGGCCCCATTTCCTAATCTAGGTGAATTCATCTTTCTAAAGTGGAAGTTGGTTTTGACTTCTATCTAGCCATGTTGATAGTGGCGTATTCATAGTTTAACAATGTGTGTCGCAATAGTAGTTTGTCAGAGAGTTTTATACACAGTTTCTGAGTGAGATTTCATTGTATTTGTTAGAAGAGTTTGCCATAGTTGGCTTGACCTCCCTTGCTTTCCCTCAATGTACAATTGCTACTGCAATTTTTATATTTTTACCACAAAAATAGTACTGGCCAAACTCTTGTACAACTGCAAAGGATGATAGTATTGTTTATTGCCTAGTGATATATTACCTACAACTCAATTGAAAGATGTATAATTTTGCTGAATGAGTGGCACATAAAATTTTTGGACCAAAGATGGTGTTGGGGATGGATCGATGAGAGGACTCTTGCACCAGCTAAATTTGTCTGTGTAATGATTCAAAATATGCAAACTCATGCCAACTCCATTCGCAACGAAGCCTTTATGATTGTGTTGGCTTTCCAAAACCTGATATCCTACATAATTTCTAGGGATAATTTCAGAAACCTCCCCTGAGATTTCTAACAATCTCACTCGCCTCCCCAGAGGTTTGCAAAATATCAACTACCTCCCCTAAAACTAAGTAGGTAGTGTCAAATCTAACCCAATTCAAATGGACAAACAATATAAAATATGTATTAAGAGAGAGAAAAAAAAACTTCATTCCACCTCTGCCTTTGAGATTGTCATTGGTGATTTAATTTATGCTGAATAGTACACTGCCATATAACAACAATGGAATTTTCAAGAGGTGTATTTGAAACTGATGGGAAAGGCAAGGTTACTAGTACATTTTGGAAGCTAGAAGCCTACGGCTCTTTATGCAACAGCTTCTAACGGTAAAAAGCAACACTACTCTTGCCTACTTCTCTATATAATTGCAAAATAAAACTGCAACATATGATAATGCATCTTGTTGAGTGGTTGCTGAGCAAAGGTAAAAGCAAAAAAAAGGGAAAATCGTTCAAAACGTTCCTCATATTTTACAAAATGACTTTTTTCATCCCTCACTTTTAAAAATATAATTTTACGTCCCTTACAAAATCACATTGGTCAAATTTGATTCCCATCTAGATTTTTGACTAGTTTTTGGTCGGCATCTACCACGTGCCTTGCACGTGATCATTTTTGAGGGGCAAATTTGTCAAATCAAATTTCACATAATTTGATTTTTTCGTCCCTCACATTTCACAAAATGAATATTTTCATCTCTCATTGATCATGTGTACGAATAGTTTCTTTTTTTTTTTTTACACCCACGTATATATTTATTTACGAACAATATGATTTCACCTGAAATCACCTGAACAATACGAATAGCATGTAATATATCTGTATTTGATTTAATCTACAACTACAATTAGCTTATTTAGATGAAATTAAATAGAGACATATTACATGTTATTTGTACTATTCAGGTGAAATCAAATAAATATATATATATGAGTTTTCAAAAATAAGAAAAGATTGTTGTACACATGATCAATGAGGGATGAAAATTTTTATTTTGCAAAATGTGAGGGATGAAAAAATTTATTTTATGAAATGTAAGGGACGAAAAAAATTTATTTTATTAAATGCGAGGGACTATGGATCAGATTATGTGAAATGTGTTTGACAATTTTACCCCTAAAAAATGATCATGTGCAAGACACGTGGTAGATTCCGGTAAAAAACTAGTTAAAAATCTAGATGGGGACCAAAATTAATCAATGTGAATTTGTAAAGGACGTAAAATTACACTTTTAAAAGTAAGGGACAAAAAAAGTTATTTTACAAAATGTGAGGGACGTCTTGAATGATTTTCCCAAAAAAAAAAGTTATAAGTTGAACTAACTATTTCTCACCAAAGTAATCGATCACTGATCACTGTAGCTCTCATTGTCACATCAATCATCAAAAGGGCACTTTTTTTTGTGCTCTTTCCCTAAACCGAAATTAGGAATTAATTTTGCATCCAAATTTTAATTAAGTTAGTTAATTTATGTATTATTGGCTTAACTAATTATGTCAAAATAAATTTGGAATAGATGATAAGTTATGAGGGTATTTCTATCAATTCACCACCCTTGATGTCACAATTAGGGCCCAATAATCTAAGAGGGAGAGGTAACCGATATTTTGCAAACTTCAGGGGAGGCAAGTGAGACTATTAGAAGCCTTAGGGGAGGTTTATGAAATTTTCCCTAATTTCTACAAGAAAAATGATTATTCAACCAAATTCAAGCAACTGCTGCATAAGCAAATGTCACCAACTCTTCTGGTGCTTAAACATGCATGTCTCCTTGAGCATTATATGCTTATGTGTGATTGAGCTCTTCATGTTGCTATGGCAAATTAAAGTTCTCGTTGGTATTTTACATAGTGCATATGTACTAGGACATCCGCTCGATATGTTTGCCTATATCTTGCTATCAATGCAAGAAAATCAAAATGCATATAAAAAAAAATTAACGACAATGACTACCTTAGACTTCATAGATACCCTCGCACTTCAAGCTCTCAAATCGATTTTTGCATAAATTTTCTTGGTAATAAAATAACATCTTCAAAGTTTGGGGTTGTAGCATTGAATTTTGATCATTTCAAGGTAGCCTCATTGAAACCTAAACACAGTAATTAATTATGGTAAGACTTTTCGTTATATTGTGCACGCATTTGAGTTCAATTCCATCAATCAAAAGTATTTTATTTATAGTTATAGCTGGTAACAAGGTGGATAAAACTTCATTCATGAGTTTGAATAGGAATCTTATTGTCCTAAATTAACTTGAATTTCTTCCTATGGAGCGTTTTTTCACTTATGTTACAGAGGTAAATATAGATAAACCTAAAAAACAATGCTCTGCTCTCAAAAGAATTAAAAAAAATGTAACAATCAACTTGCTTTTCTATTCAAATGTAATATAACATGCTAAGTTGCTTAGGTGATTCAATTATCAAAGGTACAAATGAACTAAATTTTAAGCAACAATCTCAGTTTTTAGTGCACAAAAATAGTGATTACTATGTAATGATAATAACGTTCTCTATAGAAAAGTTGTTTGTTAAATAATTGAGCTGAAATTTAAATTAACTTTTTATCATGTCAATAAAACCATAATAATGCTTAACGATAGGAGTACTGGACGTACATGATTGCACACAAATCATTTTTTTCATTGTTTTTAGCAAAATGTTCATGAAGGAACCTAAGGTCGGGGGTACCTACTACAAATTATGTATCCAACTTTTTGATTGAATGAAAGACTTCAATGTGAAGGTACAGGTGCGGATAAGCAACAAAGTGTTGGTCAAAGGCCTCCAGCAAAGAATCTGCCCTGAAGCTAGATGTGCAACATTAATAGATGATATCCAGTCCTTTAGCTCTGTGTTCTCAAAGTGCTCCTTGGTTTGTACAAGAAATGAAAATATGGATACTAGTAGATTTCTTAGTGAACATGCCCTGGGCATATTTCAAGATGAAGAATGGAATGACTTCGCTCTCTTGTGCTAAGATGCACCTTTCGTAAATTTGGACCTTTGTCCAATTACTGTACAGTTTTGATATCATAAATACAAAAGCTAACATTTCCAAAAAAAAAAAAAAGAAGAAAGACCTCAATGTAGTAGATCCCAGAAGGTCAATTCTTTTGAGTTGTCAAATCAATAACCATAAGTAGTAGATCCCACAAGGACAATAATTTTTTTTTAACATACAAAAATTATACGCGAGAATCAAGCTCAAAAACGTATGATATCATCAAGCAGACTGTTATGTGCTATTAGAAGAATAAAATGAGTCCTTCACCCTCAAAAACCACAACCAATAATACTCAGACTATTAGCTGGCAAAATATTTGTCAAATGTTGAATATTGATCAATATCTATACTATAAAGGAGAGGTGGAGGTTTTGAGGTGAATAATTGTCATCACTTTCAACTTTACCCTTATAAAAAATTAATTATTGCTTTATTACCTAAACCTACATTATCTATACTATATAGTCATGATCGCAGACTAATCCACGAAAAAAAATCAAAGGAAGCCAGAGAGCAAGTAGGAAAAGCCCAACTGCATTTAAGTCAGATTTGATAAAATGATAGAATGATTAGTGATTACCCTACAACCATAGGTTATTTAGTCACAGCAACAAGACACCTAAAGTCTAATGTTTTGCACAGGACAGAATTTCAGAGAGAAATTTGATATTCTAAATTTGGACAGCCCAGAAGCACCGAAGCCTATATAAAATAGTTATCTAGGATAGATACATATAAAACTTGATAACCATTTCACTATGATGAAACGGCTATTAGGTGTGGCCTGCCATTGCTCGTAGCTGCGCAATCATCAGTGCAGCAGCTGAATCTGTAGCTTCTTCAGGAGTAGAAAGCAATTCACTGAAACAGGAAGAATCAAAATCCATGCCTTCTACAGTTACCTTAGCTAAAAATCCACCTAAAAAACAGAATAAATGGGATAAAACATATACTCCCTTTAGGAACACGAACACAAAATGATTTCTATGCATAGAAATATTGTTCATTCTTGCCCTTGCTACCTCACCTTCAGAAACTGTAGAAAAGAAGATCACAATATACATATACATTCATACGATAAGCAAATGAAGTCTTGGGTTCTTTCTTTGAATTATTTCCTTCTCGGCAACTTTGTTGTTGTGTTACTGAGGCCAAAGTGGCAGGCAGTATGAATCAGAGATGGTAAAAATTGGTTTAATGATGGCTTGAGAATTACATACAACTGTAGTAAGGCTTGATCCTGGGAAATTCTTCTTATCAATTGTTTTATGCCATATTAAGTGGGTAGCAGCTCTTATCAAAAGTAAAGAAGGCTAAGAGTATATATTCAGACAGCCCTAATATTTAGAAATTCAAGATCAATGTAGATATGTCTTTACCATCTGGGGCTGACACGGAATAATTGACCATCCAGCCATTCACACCACATATACCATTCAAATCCTGCAAGGAGAAATTTAGACATTTATCACACCATCCAAAAAAGAAAACTAACAACCAAACAGTTCACATGCCTAACACTATCTTAAAAACAAATCCAATCATAAAACATGTACGAAGAATACAGCAGGAGAATTTCTTTGAATCCTGCACCACTTGCCACCAAAAATTGAAAATGAAAAGGACACGAGGAAAAGTAGCAACAACAACATGTCAACCACTAATGGTTGTATTCTGGGTGCTAGATGACAGCCTGAGACTGACAAGGAGGAGCATCATGCAGTCTAACACATGCTTAGAAAAATATGACACCAAAGTTATGTAATTATTCTACTGACAAAATAAACAATTGTCTTACCTAATAAGAAAAGCATAGAAAAACACATCATTCCACAACCCCTTCACTAGTATCTAGTTCGCATTGTTTCCAAAAAGCACAGGAGTGAAAAGCTAAAAGAGAACTTCTTGAATGAAAGACATAAAATAAACAGACAAATCTAGTATGTTCATTTGCCTGAGTAGGAGACCGCAAATTAAAGATGGCATCTGATATCCTCTTTGTGGTTCTGAGTTGATTTAAGCGACGATGGCCACCATGTTGATAACTCTCATGCTGATATTTATCTTTGAAGCATGCATCATTACAACCATCCATGATGGCATCTAACATAAGAGCCAAAGCATCCTCATTGCCTAGTACAGAACAAGAAATGTGAACATAGGACATAGCTATTCAATTTCACCAAATAAATTAGTAATAAAGTGATAAAACTGCAGAAGAGCAAAAGGTTGTTAAGAACTTTTTCTTGTAAAGTTACCATCATGTCTTGCATTTATGGGCCTTTTAAAAGAAGCAAACTCATTCTCCATGTATAGTTTTACTCGCAGAGAGGAGGCCATCTTACCTATTGAATTATCCATGAATCGAGTGAAACTAACTTTGGGCATCTAACCCTTCATCCATTGCATAAACAAAGATTAACAGCTCAAGAATCTTCTAACTATATCACAAGGTTAGCATAAACCGTTGTAAATCTTAACTAGGTAGCTTTGTTCATAAATCTAATGCCAACTCAGTCTTAGTATGCAGCCTACACCTAAGAAAGGAAATAAAAAATATTCCTTGACAATTCAAGAATTTATAATCCAACAAATTGCCATGGAAATTTATATCATTTTGGAGGCTTGAATTCTTATTTTTCACCTCTTTTGTTCACTTGAAAAGCTGGCCCATATTCTAAAGAAGAATGTGACATGTTCAATTCTTTTCTTATGAGAACGGAGAGGAAAATTTAACTATGGTAGAGTTGGTATGCTGAAGAATCAAGAACCTAGCTTGGGAAAGGTGAAGCGGAAGAAGAGCTTAAATGTATTAAGTATGATACCAACTGAGGACCTTCATTTACTGAATGGAAGATATATTTTCTATTCCATTCAATTCTTGCACAAGGTATCAGGCATGTGCAGGGATAAAGAAACTAAACAAGTCAAGATAAGCACTATACCCTCTATGATCTTCTGGATGTTTTGATCACAAGCTGCAATCTCATCATGCATGAGGCGAGCTTGATGACACTGCCAAGACGAAAAGATAAGTCAATGAATGTTCTATACCAGTTTAGGAATGGCTAGGACTGAATAAAATGTCCAAATGGAACATTTAAGAAGATGAAGTCACTATGTAATTGGTTCATAGTTGGAATATTCACAGCAAGGAAATCAAGCTTGGAATACTAAGACAAACCAAATATTTGCAGCATTCAGAAGATTGACTTTCCAAAAAATGTACCAGATAATATTAGAGAGAGAGGTTTTTAGTATCCAGGACAATCTTTCCGTCTCACAAGTTTTAGCACTATTTTCTGCAATACACATGTTATAGCTAACTCTGATGCATATACATCATACAAAGCCCAACTTGTTAGAAATACTTCCATCTCTTTTAGCTACCAATCGTATCAGCAAACAGAAATATTTACTGATCTCTTGCTTCTTGATGGAACTTAAAATATTTTGATGTACTTTTCCCTTCAATCTACTTCAACTTTCTGGCATTTCCTTAAAAAGATAAGATCAGGGTTCATTCAAGGAGCTTTCAATAGTCAACATCATCCACTCCGTCACACTTCTCACAATAGCATTCACACAAATAAAAATTGGAGAAAGAAAAGATGAGAATGATTGACTTCCTTATGCTGCTGGTCAGACAATGAAGTCCGTCACTATCTTTTGGAAATAACCCTCTTCTAGGAAATAACATATCCTCTTCAACTAAAGCAACTGTACTTTTACCCTAGCCAAGTCTATCCAAGTGATGTTAGCAATGAAGTCCATCACTATCTTTTCGAAATAAAGTTGCTTAAAAGAATCTTTGGCATGAAAATCTTTATCTATCAGAGACAAGCACAAGGTACAGGCTAGACTACCAAAACCTTACCATTTTTGCTCTTTTACTGAATAAATGTCCCAAAGCAGTCTGTGCCAGTGCTACGTCTTTTGTTACAAGTGTAGCCTGCTGAGTTTCAACACTTCTGGCATTTGGCTCAAGACAAACTGGTGCATAATCTTCCCCTTGAGTCCAATTTAGATTGTATGGGAGAGTCCAATTGATGCCAATTCCAGAATCCTTTCCTTCTCTACTATTAAATCTATTTGATTTTGGGCTACCAGCTGACTCCACCTGCAGACAATTAAGTGTCACAAAAAGTAGATCACTAACAAATTCTCATAGAAAAAGGACACTAGTTAGGCAAGCAGTATCAAAAGCTGCAATGAGGCAGTTAAACATTGGTCCACTGAAAATGATGCTTTAGAACCACTAGAAGAAAAGTAAGTTGATTGACTAATAAAGAAAACCACACCAAACGATTACTTTTGTGTCCTACATATTTTTTGTAACAACTTAAAATAGCATTTCCAGCAGTGCATCTTCATCATCACACAAAAGCTGGAAATATGAGCACTGAATGATTAACCTCATCTCTAAAAGGAAATACTTTGAGCTTTTGATATCCGCAATCAGCAATTATAAATAGTCGGTAGAAGCTCAATGGAAAGAGTTACCTTCAGGTTATAGAGAATAAATTCACAGTGTACATGTTCAGAGAAATTTGACATTATATACTTGTGCAGTTGAAAGAAAAAGGCTGGTCCTAAATATGCTTTCTATTTTCAACATAATTTTCTCTAGACTACGGGAGAAGTCAAGATCAAGAAGCCTCAGCTAATAATTCAGAAAGTGAAACAATAAAACAATCTATCACGTAATCTGAAAGACAAGAAGAAAAAAAGAAAAGGGTTATTTTCTTTTGTATAAAACCTTTAACCTTGAGGAGCTAAACAATTCGATTTACATCCTGAAGTGGTTGGAATCACTCTTGCAAAGGCTAAAAATACATCCTAGAGTTGGATCTTCTATTTTCAAATTTTCAAGGAGACAAAAGAAGATGAAAAATACTTCAGCCAAACTCAATGGTGGACCAAAAAGATGGACACTCATGTCATAGCATCCATGACCAAAAAAAGCATTGACGAAGGATTGTAAAGAATAGGATACCAGAGGAATATAAAGAAGGTGGGGCTTGTACCATATGGGAATTGTCCTATATTACACATGTATTTAGTGATGAAAATGGTACCTGGGTAGTCTACTAGATGATGACTGTTCCTCCTCCCAAAGCATATAACCAGAAAAAAAACAAAAAGAAGAAAACCTACTGTTTATCATTCAGTACCACTGCAAATAAAGTTCACCATGCTGCTTTCACAACACAGTTAATCTTCCCTGTTTATGATGCGGTCCCTACTCACTAACAACTGAGGTCATCTTTCAAAATAATAGTCTGCACGGACTACAAATCTCTAAGGCACGTTTGTTTAAGCAATGCATCTTCTGAATGGGCAAGATACTTGCAGTTGTATACTGTACTTCTTTTGGCACAAAGTTAATTTTGTACATGCAGCAATAATAGTGTATGAACAAGAGAAGGTCGAGATGTCATGGCGCAGCCTCATGGTTTCACAATCACACTTCTGGTTCTTGTTGCAACTACTAGGTATATCTCCCCAGTTTGCACATGCAATTGATAAATTTCCAATAATCAAGTTCACTTATCATGTTGAACAAGCATCTCTTCACACTGCTTTATGTGCATGTGTATATAGGTGATTGTGTAGCTAAACTTTCACACAGATAAACATATTCTCAGACACCAAAACCAATTACCCTAGCCCACAAAAGAACCGACCCTGCCACGGGCAATTGTTAAGCATAAGAAGTTCCTCTAGCATCCTTGTAATCAATCTTCTTTTCTCAATTTAATCTAGGTAAAGAAAAACCATGATAAGGTAATTACTAAGGTGCTAAACTGTATTACAAATGCCGCCATTAAAAGTATCCAATCGGCATATAAATCTGCATCTATTCACTCCAGGAGTAGTTGCGCACTTCTCAGCTTAATGGAAATGTCCATGCTTTACTTCATAAAGCTTGTCAGCAAGTAAAACCCCGATGCAAGATGCAAATTCAAATTGCTATATTAGGTTGGTAAGCTAATTGTAAAGAGACAACAATGATTTTCCAGAACCTCTAATCTCAGACTAAAACAATCCCAGAACTCATACTGCTGCCTTTGAAGTAATAGGAGCATCTAAACTGCTACAACACCAGAGCAAAAATCAAATATCACAAAATCTCCTCAAAGATTATTAAATGTTAATAACTAGAGCTTGCAAATAATTGGTACAAGCTACTTAAATACAATCTTTAACAGGACACACACAATTAATTGAAGTTTATTTGATTTAAGCGAAGACTTTCCTACTTCTTAGTATCATCGAACTCAGACTTCCACTGGGCACTTTAATTCGAATATCAACAAATGAGGGTGCATATGAACCTATATAGCTTAACTAACAAGAAACATATTACTTGCAAAGTTTTTTACCTTTATTGTAAGTCAGAATATTAAAGTCACTTACATTGACAGCTCCACCTACAGAAGCACATGCACCACTCTTTACAGGAATCTTCCTTTTCTGGTGATGGTAAACTCGCATAGGTGAATCTGCACTCTTATTCTTGTCCCCGTTTTTGGTAAATCTCATTATAACTCCACCATCATCCGTCTGCTGCCTTTTTCTGGGAAGGAAGCAGCTTATCTGGAGTTCATTAGTAGGACCCTGTTTTGAATCTTCAGAATCCTCATTGTTCATGGTATCCAAAGATTTATCAAGCTTTTCTGTGTCTTTGATTACTTTCTTTATCTCCTTACTATTGTATGCATCAATTGTATGTTTGCCACTAGAATTTCCACTGATAGAGTCTCTCAACCCTTCGACAGTTGAGTGAGTGAGTTTACCTGTATCAGAGTTTTTAGTGCCTTCAACTTTATTCTCCACCCTCTTAGCATTGTCACTACCACTGTTCTCTTCACTTATACAATCTATATAAACACAATTTTCTGACTTTTTCACAGTTGAGTGACTGATGTCCGATAATGCATCAAGGCTTCCTGTTTCTTTAACTTCTGTCTCTGCCCTCTTGGAGTTGTCAGTACCAGTTGTGTCTTCACCACTACAATTCTCCAACTCTTTCACAGTTGTGTGATTAATGTCCAAGAATTTATCTGATTGTTCTAGTTCCTGAGCTTCTTCAGTCTCCATCTTAAATTTGTCAGTAGCAACTGTCGCATTACCTCTAAATTGTGCATTTTTGCAGTTTCCGTCCAGTTTTTCTGCTTCTTGAACTTCTTTATCTGCCCTCTTGGAGTTCTCTGCACTAATTGTGTCTTTACCACTACAATTTGCATCAATGCAGTTCTCCAACTGTTTTAGAGTTGGGTGAGTGATGTCCCAGGATTTATCAGATTGTTCTGTTTCTTGAGCATCTTCATCCATCGTCTTAGATTTCTCAGTAACAGCTTTCTCATTAACAAGGTTCTCCAACTGTTTTAGAGTTGGGTGAGTGATGTCCCAGGATTTATCAGATTGTTCTGTTTCTTGAGCATCTTCATCCATCATCTTAGATTTCTCAGTAACAGCTTTCTCATTAACAAGGTTCTCCAACTGTTTTAGAGTTGGGTGAGTGATGTCCCAGGATTTATCAGATTGTTCTGTTTCTTGAGCATCTTCATCCATCGTCTTAGATTTCTCAGTAACAGCTTTCTCATTAACAAGGTACTTTGCACTGTTGCAGTTCCCATCATTGCACTGCCCCTCATTGTTAACTTCTGCATAACAGGGATTTTCCAGCATTAGATAGCTATTGATCTCTATATTTCCCTGTTCCACACTAATATTCTGCAATCCATTTGAGGTAACTTGCTCTCTTTCAGAAAATTTTTCACCAAAATTCTCCTCAATTTTCAGAATGCTGCTCACATTGGATCTCTGCAAGCTAATTGAGGGAAATTCCCTGAAATAATTGGTGATTCAGAAAGTAAGACAGTGCAGAAAAGCTTTAATGTCTGTAGACTGTTTAAATAAATAAAGCACTCTACTCTTTTTAACAGCATAAGCTTTTACATTTAGTGCAACTCCACAGTTTATCAAATCTTATGGCCAGAAAAAGAAAATGTCATGAAAACAAACGAAAATGGAAAGAATCCATAGTTTAAGCAAATCCCAAACACTGAGGCAGATAGTTCAATCATTCCAATGGAATTTCCATGCAACTACTCCCTCAACTTAGAAACTTAACTATCATTTTGTCCAATGAAAATAATTCACAGTTGAGGCCCATAAATAATATTCTGCAATGTCGTCATGCAGAACTCAGTCAAACAAGATCATGTAGATACACACATCTTCCTGTGAGCCTAAATTCAGCAGCCAAGTAATAAATGTTTGACCCCACAAACACATTGCACCAAGATTTTCAAGGGCACAAATGCACAAAAACTGCAAAAGTAGCCAAATCCTCTGAAGCATTCATAGAATTCATGACTCCTGCAAAACGACTAAATTGGGATAGAATCAGGTATACAACGGAAAAATTGATTTCTTTCCATTAAAAACAAAGAAACAAAGTTTGAAAAAGGTTGTCATTATATGCATGCTTCCTTAGAGTCAAATGGAGTCTGACAAAAACTACTTTATGCAGCTCATATAACTTTTTCTTATAAAGGTCCTTACACTAGATTCCTCAAAGTCTTTCATTATCCAGAACTGAAAAGAATGTCCAATGTACATGTGTTTTGTTACATTATACAATTGTAAACTACAGAATATAGGTTTGAGCATGAAACCTTTATAAACAGATATCATTTAACTTCAACGTCATAGTACAAATGCAACAGGTAGTCGTTAAGAATCTATGCTCATTTCTAGAGCAGTAAGAAAATATATTAGAAGCTGTGATACCAGTAGTAGCAAGCTAAATAAATATGCTAAGAAGTGGCAAGAAACAGAAGTTCACTGATGAGACACTAATGAGACGGTAATAAAAATAAGCACTGACAATTCCCTAACAACTTAGTTAAAACTATACAAGTTAAAAGCTCTAATTTCAGTCAAACATTTAATTTCTTGGATGATTCTACAAAGTCATCCTTCTTAGTCCACCAAACGACCTCCATTCCCCACCGCCCCAAAGGGTGCCTGACCAATTGGACACAAAGCCCAAGTGGAATAACGGATTACAACTTGCAAGAGTTTCCTTTCACGTAACAAAGACATAACCTTTCCAACCCTGACCACAAGACATGCATTCACAAGCCAAAATCCCTCCCTTTTGCTGATCATAGGAAGACCATCACATGCAAACAGTAAATCAAAGGAGGGGAAAAAACAGACCATATCCTCTACAACATGGCAATGAGGAAAAGACCAATTGAACCACCAGGATTTAAGTGACAATGATGAATGCATCACCTTTGAGGTAAGGGTTTGGAGATCTGCTCCATGTTCTCTTTGGGTAGATTAGGAAGTTAATGATAGGCAAATTTATTAGGTTTGAGGCCATTGCTATGTAGGTCTGGAAGGTGGGGGCGGGTACGGGAATTCCTGTGTGTATAAATGTAAGCAAGTCGAACGCAGTATTGAATCCTCAGTGGACTCCTCTTATATTTGAGAAAAGCTCAAACTCATTTGACCAAAATGAAGTCCGATGTAAATAGGTAACTTAGCTCCCTGTATTAAACTCCAAATGGTTACCGGAGGCCACAGAACAGGTACAGTCACCAATATTAAAGCAAAAAGATAACAGTGTTGCGAAATCCTAATTGGCCATTAAAAGTGTAGATCACATTTCAATACCATACTAAATGAATTTCCAATTTTTATGGCACGTAACTATGGACCACTGGACAACAGGACAAATATGACCATTAGTCCATGAAGTAGGGCAAGTGGAGAGAGGTAATTACATGGAATATCCTGAAAGAGCATTTGAAAATTAAATTTTGAAAGTTAGTGACGACGTAAAGTAGGAGCTAGATACTGCTGATTGCAGGACAGGGAAAACATATGGGGAAAGCTGGTTGGCTAAAGAGAAAGGCTTGAGAATTCTCACTCAGATGAACCAGCTGCTGCCAGTCTAGTGAGATTTAGACCTTGCCCTCATAAGGTGCAACCTATGAATCTACTGGCTGTAGGCCAATCGACTATGATGAAGATGAAAATATTCAAGGTGTTTATTTTAAATAGGTAATGAACTGCTCCATAAGAAACCTTGAATATGAAATAAAATGTAAGACAACTTCTGCGTTCAACCAGCAAAAGGAAAAAATGAAAATAGAAAAAACATTTTGAAGCAGTAGAAGAGGAAGATTTTATCAAGACGTCATGAAGAAAATTACATATCCAATTTAAATAATGTAATCATCTATAGCATAATGGGTCTTATATTTGTGCATCCATACATCTCACTAATGATAAGTTATTTTTTCTCAGGATATTAATAATATTGTCTTAAAGTTGAAAGCAAGCAAGCTGATCAAATGTCCTCAGAAAAATGTGACATGCTCTCATCAGAGCAAAAGAGGATTGGCCGCTCAGAAAATTCTCTGCAATTCAAGTTCACTTCTGGTCATGAGCATCCTGGTTGAAATCAAGACACTTCTCCTCTTCATGCCTGCTTTGCATAAGAAAGATATGTGCAATTTATACATATTATCCATTATGTCAGTTACTCTTCGTAACCGATCCACTTCCGACAATAAAGAAACTGAGCATGAAATTGAAACTTTTACCTTATAAAATCCAATAGACTGAAAAAAAAGTAACTGATTACAGAGAAAAATGAAGTAAAGACCTTCTATCTCTGAATTAGTAATGATCTGGAAGATCCAGCAGAATGGAGAAAAGAAAGGAACCAAGTGTTTATGAAAGAAAACTACTAAGAAAAGAAATCGCTAGATGAATGATGCCACTTGTACCTTGAATACCAGCTTGACAGAATCATGGCATAAGGAAGCACGTTATAATGCTCAACCACTGTGGTAGTCATCCAGCTATGAGACATCCATTCAAACAGGGGGCCCTGCAAACTAATTCAAATGCAGAAGCACGTTTATGGTACCATCATTGTTACCTGGGAAGAAAAATGATAATTTAAAGCGTTTTCAAATCTTAAGTGGCATCCTTTAATTTTCAAGCAGCTCCTGAGTTTTTAAAGACAACAAATGATTGAAAATTCACTCAAAGATCTGATACAAGATAACTTGAAAAGCTCATTTAAGTTCTATGGCCTACCTTGCAATTTCTGAGCAATCTACTGTGGAAATAATAAATCCAAAAAGATTTATAAAATGTTGTAATCATAGACATATAATCAAAGGTGTTTTACAGATGAGCTAATTTGGTCCAGTAAAATATCTGGTTGTCTCCTTACTCCTACACCAACTGGGCAAATTCTGAAGAATCTACAAAGAGAGGACAAAAGTATCTGATCGTCTTCCTAAGAGTGTTCCATATGGCCAAATTAGTACTCAACGCAAATCCCATGTGACTAATTAGGTATCCATAACTTTCACATTTTCCTAGATGAAATTAAGCAGCAACACTCTGTTGTCTAATTCTGTGGGCAGTCAGTGTTTACACAGTCCAGCTTCCAGCTTCAATGAGTCCTTCCATCTGTTTCTTTTATCCCAACCAAGTTTTTCTTCTCACCACTTCTCAATCAACTGGATAGACACCTACTTAAAATGTCAAAATTTCCTATTCTTCTTGCTTTCCCTTGATCTTTTAGTGCTTTACTTGCTGAGCTGCAAAGTAGCACAATAGTTCCTGCAACAGCAAGTTCCCCTATTTGCCAACAAAGCAGTCACCACTGCTGGCTCTTCTCTTCAACTCTTGCTTCTCTAACCTATAATCTTTCTTTATTTCTTTCCTCACTGCCAGCAGCCAGAGTCCAGTAGCAACGAAACAATGCTTTGCAGCCACAGTAGCAGGTACAGAGTCTATCATTTTATTGATAAGGACAGGAAATGAAAATGAACGATCAGAAGAAGACGTTAGAGAGTAGTTTGAGGGTTAAAGAAATGACTGAATGGGAACTTTAAAAATTGTGTACCAACACAACTGGTGGCACCTGTCTCCTCTAACAATCCAGAACATTTTGACTTTTTTATGAGTGACTTTGCAGGCAATTTTGGGCTTGCAGGTACTTCAAAAATTGGAGAGTTTTTAGGTCATCCTTAGGTCATTTTACTTTACATCTGCGAACTGATTTTATACCCCCTCGCAAACCATGGATTATTATTATATCATCCTTTTAGGTCAATTAAGCTTACATATGAGAACTGATTTGACACCCCCTTGAGATTGACAGAAGCCATGAAACTAAAAAAGGGATTGGCAGAATCCCATGAAATTGAAAGAGACTTAGTGAGAACCGATGAAACTGATATAAACCTCCTTCATGTACACGTGGGTGAACTTAGTGCCAGAACCCTCTAGAGGAATCAGCTGGATTTATGGATCGATACTGCCTCGAAAAAACCTAAAGGAAAAAACTGAATTATTAACTATGTCTAATGCCTAGCTCAGATATCATATGAAAGAAACTGGGCATCCAATTTAGAAACCAATTCTCTAAGAGTAAAATTGTCCAACATCTTCCCTAGTTCAAAAGTGCTTGAACGACCAAAGAGGTACTTTGCATTTTAGCAGATACTGAGTTGTGCTCCATTAGAACATTTATTGTAACCTAGTATAAATCTAGAGGGAATGCATTAATATACCCTTTGCATTACATATGCATTTATTCTGGCAGTTCAGATGCATTCCATTGGGTATCATTTTCTATATCTATATCAGTAAAAAGTCCTTTGCTCTTCAAAAAGATACACTTAATCCAAAGAACCTAAAAAAACATCGGTTTGATTCTGGAAATGAAGCGTCTCTATTGGTTTGAAAAAACAAGGGAGAACTTAGATGTAAGTTTGTTTTAAAAAAAAAACACACACATTCAAAATCAAGGCAGAATGCAACAAGCATAAACAATATTTGCAAATCTCTTCTGCTTCAAAGACTAATCAACATCATTTCTGAATTACATTAGTGTAGCTTTGACTGAGAATGTGTATTCCTCTGCCTTAAAAAAGATACAATTAAGTATAAAATTAAGGTTACAGCAAAAGTCATATAGGATTCCAAAATATAGAGAAATGAACAGTTGAATCAGAGTAACAATTAGAGGAGTTAAAAATAAATGACAGAAGAGCAAAGATGGCTTCTAGTATCAACTTTTAGTTCTAAACAAATCTGAAAACTAAATAAAGCTGAGAGGCTGCTCCAAAGCTATATGTCAAGATAAGAGCCTGTTATTAGCTTAATAATATGAACTGACATCAAATGCTCTTCATGAACTGACACCAAATGCTCTTAACATAATACCTAAGTTGAATCAGAGTAACAATTAGATTCTGAGCTGGAAATAGAGCTCAGAATCAAGGTCCTTAATGAGTGAAATTTACTCATTCAAATTTGTAACAAACAAAATAATAGCACTTCAATAAAACCTCATAATATGAACTTCAACTTCCAGAAACAACTATCATAAGGAAATAATGAATAGAACTAACCTCTCAATAGTATCTTTAATAGGAATTTGAATGTCTCCACCACTTGTGCATTGCATAATGTAGAAATAAGCAGCTGTCTTTTCTTTACTTAAAGAATACACCACATGCCTCTCCAAAACCATGAGATCAGAGTGATTAATGCCTATTTACAGTTACCAAAACATTCAAGCACCATAAGTACTGTTTGAAAAAAGAAACTTTACTTGGAGCGGACAGGGGGAGGAGGATGGAAAAAGACACTCAAGCAAATTGGTAAGATTTTTGAGACCTAATTCATATGGGTAGGAAATAACATAACAGATAACAATCTAAATACAATTCAGGCACTGACCAGATAAACAGTCACAATAAGTTTGACTTCAATATCACTACGAAGAAAAGAACTACACATGCAACAGCTCAAGGAGAAATTAAGAATTCAAGTCTTAGAGTAGCTCTATAGTCCATCGAGCCTGCTCTTAAATTAATTAGAAGACAGGAGAGTTGTAAAACTATCAAAGAAACACCAGAGATTCATTAGCCTCCATAACTCTTAAGTTCCAGCGAAGAATGCATTGCAATTTCCAATTTTAATAAGGTATTTTAAGATGTTAGACACAAATGGAACAGGAAGAAGAAAACATGTCTATTTACTGAAGAGAGAAGCTCCATAAATAATTTTGTCCATTTAATTACCGAAAAAAAAAATTACACGCATGGATGCTCAATAGTCCATATTCTGGAACAATGGCATACCTGTAGCTTCCTTGACAGCTATGGAGGCAAGCTGCTCAAAGTATGACTCTGTGAGTTGTTCACCTGTCATTGTTTGACTGATTCTTTTTCCCTCTGAGGTATTTTCCAAATCTATGTTGAAGTCATCGACAGATTTTTCAATAACAGACCAAACACCATTAGTAACAGAACCAAATAGCAGCACGCAATTCTCCTTTTCTGAGTCGACCAACAGCACTGAAACTTTTGAAATCGGCCATCCTTCTATGCTTGGAATGTCTTTCAGTGCATCTAAAGACAATGAGATATTGCAGGCATCCATGACTGCTTTCTCTGTCACTGAAAGTTGGTTTTCCAGATCATTCAACCCAACAGGATCGGTTTGGAGTGTAAACTTCATATGAGGCATTAGAGTTGGCTTTAAAGTTAAAGCCAACTTGCAAAATGGCACAAATTCTAAAAAGCACAACTCTGGATCTTGCTTCCTATGATAGTAGTTGTAGAGTAGCCCAACAGCATGCATCTGTAGCAAAGCAGAAACGGGTAAGAAACATCAGTTAGTAAAACAACAAAATCCATAAGATTCATAAATTCTGTACCAAATGCTTCAATTCAAAAACAAAATTTTGTCTCAACCCCAGTAGAAGGAAAAAACGAAAAACCATAAGATCCTACATTTGGCTAAGGTAAGTAAATGCATACTGCCACAAAAGAGCAAAGGACACGCCATTGATTTTGCATACCGCAATTCTTTCTATTGGTGAGAATTAAACACTACTACAAGATATGATTAGAATTGAGTATACTTAATAGAAGCATCCATGTCTTTTTGCATGGTTAAGATGTTATTTAGAGGGACAAAAAAAAGCATGATTGATGAGCTAAGGTCATGTGAAAATACTTCGGCAACAAACTTCCATGTTATCTTTTGGCTTTCCCCGATGCTACCATAACATCATCTTTTGATGATAGACGCCTAGAAATGAACAAGAATGGTTTTCAATGTTCTGAAGAAAAGTAAGCACCACCCTAAAAATGAAATAGAAAATCCTTCTTTCTCAGAGAAATGCTTCCAGCAGTAATAGATAAACGAATATGAAGTTAGCAATACTGATAACCATGGAAATCACTTCCAATCTCTACAATGATTTACAGACCAGTTTTAATTTTTTTCTTCAAATCCTTGGTCATTTAAGTACAATATAATTGGATAGCCCAGGACAAATATACTTGCATCATTGTAAATAGTTAAAAAGAATTTTAAATTACAAGGTTTAGTTAATACAAGCAGCTTTTCTAGAATAGACGACTCCAATCATACCTTATGCACAATGCGCAATTTGATTCTAAGTAATCTGCACTCTCATTACAATACAAAGGCAACTTTTAAACAGAAAACTACAGATGTAAGTAATTCCTTGAACACTTCTGCAGTTGGAATCTCCGTCCTCTCCCTCCCTCCCTCTCTCCCTTATATTCTAGTCCTAGTGACTTTTCCTTGCATGGCCATGGCAGCCTTTAATCTTTTAATAGAGGGCATCCTTCTTGACCTTTGGATCCAGTTACAAGTGCTACTCCCACATATATGTTTCTCATAAAGTGCCTAGAACCACTATCATTGAGCTCCAAACCATTTTCACACTTGGCTGTTCATTCAGTATCCTTCTTCATCGTATGGGTGTGTGGATTCTCCTTTTTAAGTCACCAACAAAATGGACAGACTTGTTGCCAATTTTCCAGGAAAGCAGTCTAATTATATGAAATGCACATGCTCAGGCCAATGAAACATTTTGAAATTTGAGAACCAAAATGACAATTTTTAGAGGTTTCTATGTCTGCACATAGTAATTTTCTTTTTCTTGTTATTTATTATGAAATGAGAATGTCTAAAACAAAAACCACTGTAGACTGTGGTGCACAGAATGCATTACTGCCAAATGTTTCACAAATGTGTTCATACCATAATCTATAAGATTCTACTACAATTAAAATAAAAATGATATCAGTACAAGTACTAACAAAGCAGAATTAGTTCTAAAAGAAGTATAAAAGAAAGCTTACAAAAAAAAAAAAAATCAACTAGGGGACAGAGAAAGAACACCTGTCTAGCAACAGACTGCTGATTGTCAAGTGAAGGAGGATCCTTTCCATATAGCTTCGAAGGTAACAGTGGATCAACCAAGCAATCCAACAATGCGCTTACTGCCTCCTCGATGGGTGCCACGTCCGACATAGAATAAGCTATCCTTAACTAAACAAAATGACAAAAACTCAACAATTAATCCAAGAATTATAAGATTAAAAGATATCCACAACATTGCAATTTCTGCTCTAAGATTACAATGTGAGATGAATATATCATTTCAATGTGTTACTTGCTTAAATTTAGTTGTGTGGGTTTGCATACATATGAAAAAACAAAATAATATTCCCTAACAAAACATGGAAAACAATTTCCCAACCAACTAGCGTAATCCTTAATATCTATTTGCCCCACAACCAGGGAACTTGAATTTCTTGTATATTGCAAAATATTCCTAACATTTACTAGTCCCCACAACCACGGAACTGGAATTTCAGTAATTTGCAAAATATAGTTCCATTACCACATAAATTTGGCTGGAACAATACCTGTTTCTATAACAGGGGTATCGAATGGTTGGGATTATGCAACTAATTATTTTAGCTATCAAGATTTTTTTTGAATATTAAAACACATTTGGTGCACAGAAAAAAAAACAAAAACTTAAAAAAATAAAAATAAAAACTAAAAGCCGCATGAACAACATTTCCTTAAAAACATTTCATAAAAAATCTTCATCACCAACGAATTATCAGCATGCATGCAAAGAAACTAACAAGTTTCCACAAATTCAACCGCTAACTTAGGGTTCCTGAAAAACATAGAAAATTACCAAATCAAAAACTTCATATAGGCCTTGAACTTCGGTATTCCTTGAAAAAAAAATAAAAACAAACGCAAACACAAACACAAGAACGAGAACAAAAGCTAAAAATTAAAACAAAGCAGAGAAAGAATTTTACCGATAAGATTCCTTCACACCGTTCGACCCAGCTAACAATCACTACTCACGGCGAACTCCACGGCGGCCAAAGCTTTTTATGGCGCTAAGGAGAGAACCGGAGGCTAAAACGGCGCCGTCGAAAATGCTAGCAAAGAACAGTGGACTGAAGTAGAGAGGATTGGAAAAAGCAACTTGGGAATTTGGGAATTGGTACTGACAACATGTCAACAACAAGAAGAAGAAGAATCGAAAGAAGAAGACAGAAAAGTGGGTGAGTGAATGCGTTACGACTCACTTACCATAACAATGTGCTGTGCTGTGCTGTGGTTTGCTTGAAAAGGCGCGCACTTTGCTGACGTGGCGCAAGGTAAAGAAGGAGAGCTTCCGTTACTAAATGAGATTTAAATGTAATTTGCATTCCAACCACTGGGCCAATGGCTCAGTGGCTACCAGGGAGGGGTTTAAGTCCCTTGTTGGGCTGTAGGTGAGGGTTCAAATTTCACTTGCAGCGAAAAAAATCTAAGGATTGTGGCATAACACTCCCTTGATTTAGTTGGATTGGAATAATGGACATATGTAGGTAGATATATATATCTGTACAATATATAAAAGGAGAGTAACTAAAATTTAAATGTAATATGCTATGATTCGATACATCACTCATGGGCCTAGTTGGAAAGGACAAATGTAGATATTAAAACAACACGTGTCTACATAGATTAAAAAAGTTGTGCTTTAAAACAGGACCTAAATCAGATACCCAACATTTCGCTTTTCTTGTGCCAAAAAATGAAAGACTGAGTCTACATTTTCACTTTTCTTGTGTTTTGATACACTGTGTGTGTGAGGACTCGTATTTTATTTTATTTTATTTATTTATTTTATTGATTTATTCACTTATTTATTGGTTTACTCCAAAATAGTTATTTTCATGATTAATTACCAAAGTGTTAGTTAATTATACTATCGTTACAAGAATTTCTTAGAAATTTCACTTTATCGCGCACAAGTCGGAAGTTCGCGTTTTCGCGTGAGCGATTAATTGAGGGACTTTAGAAAATTATTGCTGGACTATTAAGAGTGAATAATAATAGTGTTAAAGGAAGTGCATTAGAGGTTTAGTGCACAAGTGAAATAAACTCGAGAGGAAACGGGCACGAAACACGCGTGTATGCGCACTATTGAGAGTTGACTTTTGTGCCAAAATTTGAACTACAACTATCAAGCTTCTCCAAGAAGCTTCCCATATCAGCACCATCTCTCTCTTTTCTCTCTCAAAGCTACTAAACCCTCAAGGAAGAAGAAGGAGCAAAACTTCATCTCATCTCACTCAAATCTTGCACCTTTTCACTCCAAATTCACTGTACAAACTCACAACAACTTGGACTAGGAAGAGAGCATCATTTCCACGGTTTTCTTGGAGCTCTTAGTGGCCGAAATTTCTGAGTTTCATCAACCAAGAGGTAGTAAATCATCCAACCTTTGAAACTTGATTCTAGTGAGTTAGATTTCACTTGGAAGCTTGTAACTTCACGTGGGTATCTTTATTTTGTTGGAAATCATTTGAGTGGGCTCTATGAAATCCCACAATGGACATGTTGGACTGATATAATGATTTTGGGTGTTATTTATGTTGATTAAGTGTTAAACTAGTGGATATAAGTTGAAAAAGTGGAAAGAAAATCAAAGGAAAGCTTGCATGAGAAAGGGCTGAATTCTGCCCTATTTTTGCAGAGCACTTGGTGCAATTTTTTTGTGATCAAATGATCTTGATTTTGATGTAGATATGTTGTATAGGTTGTGTGAAAAGTTTCCACCAAAAATCACTTGATTTGGTTGGGTAAAAGTTAGATTTTCGAAATAACTTCAAAGCTGGAAAACGGGTAACAGGGATTACGTGGTAGCGAACTTTGAACGATCATAACTCCTTGCTCCGACGTCGAAATCGAGTACCATTTGCGGCATTTGAAACTAGATACTTCCAGTTTTTTAACGGTATAAAATACATCTCCTGATTTAAACTGAGTGAGCCGTACCAGTTCTTCAAAGTTACTTATTCTGTTTTATTGCTATGCTGGAGAGTCAGTGATGTGCTGGAACTTGTTGCTTGAATTTGAGCTAGCTATGAACTGAATTTCAAAACAATTTCTCTGATGAAATGTAGCCCTGGGAATGTAGTTTCCAACGCCACCAACCATGCCCAATTCCAAGTTGAATTGACTGAGTTATGACCAAATTACAGAACTGCACCAGTGATAGAAAACCCTAATTTTGGCTAGCCGAATGGCTTAGCTCGAATGGGGACTTGTTATTTTGAAACTTTTGGTATCAATCACCTACCAAATATATTTTGAATGTTTCTTACACCTTTTCTTCATAAATGAACCATGTTTGAGATGATTTCATTGGTCAAAGGTTTGAAAAAAGGAAAACTGAAACATAAGGCAGAATTGCCTTGAAAATTCCTGGAACTTTAGTGGTCTTGTTAACTGACTTCCCGTATGAATTTTTGCATAAAATTTGATAGAGGAGTATCCCTTATATGGTAATGTAATCATACCAAATTTGGTGCTATTCCAAGTCCATTTCAATGCCCAACTGAAGTCCCAAAGTTTATGTTTCAAATCTGAAAAATTGCACAATGGTCTACATTTTGAACCAACTTTGAACTGCTATATCTTGGCGCTCAAAACTCCGATTCTTATTTCGTTTATTGTGTTTTAAACTTTGATTGTAACTCTAATTGAGTTTCAAATTTTAGAGGCTAGTTCACATTCTGTGAATTTTGCCGAATTTCCAAAATTTACCAAAAACCAACCCCGAATCTATCTTGGAAGTACAAATCAGTAATTTAAGCCGAAATTTGAGTATCTTCCATTTAGAATTATGGAAAAATATCTTCTAGAAACTTTTAGTACTTTGGAATTAGTTTCCAACGGTACTAAGTTTTCCAATTTTGGACCTATGGAGAATGAGATATGATTTTTCAAAGAATGCACCTCAAATCTGAAATTTCTGAACTTAAAGGAAATTGAGTTTTTAGAACTCTCCATTTCTCTTCGATATTACTTGACCATTTTACACTTGATTTCAAAAATGAAAATCAGTTTTTCCTTGTATTATTAAACCCCACTTTTGAGTCTCAATTTACGAATAATTAAGGCTCATTTTCATGATATTGTCTTAGATTGTACAAGAATACAATTTTCCTTAATAATTGGGGGGTCTTAAGCGATAGTGTGTGATAGATAATTATTGTTTACTTAGACATTCAAGAGGACCTCACAACGGATGCTTAAATACTTGAATTGAGTACCACTCTCTCATTTTGACTAGGTGAGTGTCAAGTGTGTGAAAACGTGTTACGTGTTTAATTGTTATTAAAAATTGAATATTTTGAAAATGCTGAGTCGAGTGTGTACTTTACCGCACTCGTTCTCATTAAAGTGAAGTATACTTGAATTACTTGATATGAAATACTTGAAGTGAATATTTACATGAAGTATACTTGAATTACTTGAAATGACTTGTTAAGTAAATTAAGTGAAGTGTTTCAATGATTATTTATGCTATGGCTGCATAAGTCGATTGGAGTGAATCTACTCGACTCTTAGTGATACTAGTGGGGGACGCCCAAATCTCATCGGCCGACTTTGTAACTCGAGCCGGCATGGGTACGGTCGAGAAGCTTGGTGAGCCATGAGAAACGTGTATAAGCTTGATCTAATGGGGAGATCTTGCTTGCCATACTCGAGTAGTATCGCTTTAAATAAAAGACAGGTGAACCCGGTACAGGGGTATGTAATGGTGATCGGAGAACGAGTAAGTGAAGGTCTACGGATTATTACCTACCCGATTGACGGAGTGTCAACTAGTGAAGGTTCTTGATCGTGCAAGTGGAAAATAACTCCTGAGAGCTCTTATATCCTTGAATTGTTTCTGTTTACTTTTCTCGCCCGAATTGTTATTTAATTGAATATTACTGTTTATTTGTTAAATGGGATTGTTACTTGGACAATATGCTTGCATGTGTTTTTCTTGGCCTCACTGAGTATTGGCTCATTCCATTAGTTTGTTTTCTTAACAGGTGGATTGGAAGATTATGAAAAGCCAACTAGGTTATGTTTTTTATTGGAATCTTGGTTGTAATTATTTAGTCGACTTTTTAATGGTTGTATTTTGGGACTTGATATATCTTTTGAGAACCTGATGTAAGATTTGGATATTGGGTTAAGGAAGCGACTTTTCTTCATTTTAGACTTGTATTATTTTGGTATGTACTGTTAAGTTTAAATTAAATTGTCTTGAGTCCTGACGAGAGTTGGGTAGGCGTCCCGCGGATACCGTTGGGTTCGCCCTTGGGAGAAGTGGAGGCGTCACAATGTGCTCATCATTAATCAAGTTTACATTTTTCTTGTCATTTCTACTAATTTTCTTCTCCCGTGCATAAACCACTTTAGCTCAATAAATAACTAGAAATAGGGGATGAAGACAAAAAGACCACCAAACAGAACCCAAAATTTAGTACATTTCTTGAAATAGGTAAGCTAATGGACATGCTAACTTATACAAGGATATCTTGCTTTAAGAAAACCAAACTCAATTCATATAGTTAGTACACTTTCGGATTTTGAGTTATGAGTTTTAGGTTGATACATGTGAATCTCATACTTGACTCACAAAATATTCAGGCTATGAACCTAATTTGGATTTAGCTCAAACTCACTTATTGCTCCTTAATTTACTTAATATAATTACTATAACTATTAAATTCTAAAACTAATTTAACATTCACAGGATCATAGCAATAATTTATCAGTTCATTAAAAAGTATATAAATAAAAAATTTTCCAACAATAATATATCCAATTAGTTCAAAATATATGAAAAATAGTAATAAATCATGATCAACAGTTAATACATCTTCAAAGATCTTACATTTGCTCATACTAAGATTTATCCTTCTAAATCTTTTGACATAATTTTGTATATTTAATATTTCTTATATAATTAAGATGGTTTGACACATAACTCATAAATATGAAGTATTAGCATTATATATTTAGATAATTATATGATCTTATACTAGCAATATCATAATAAGTAGAGAAAGATAGCTTTTTTTTTTATAAATTTTCAATTTTATTCATAGGAAAAACCAAATACAAGAAAGAGAAGCGCAATTTTCTAATTACAAGGCAAATTTTGTCCTCTCATGGCCCTCTTCGCTCTCCTAATAGCTGGTATTCCCCATTTGTCAAGTCAAATTTCCCCCTTTGTCAAGTCGAATTTCCCCCTTTGCCAACATAGGAGTA